GTGCCATTGTTGGTGTGCCTTTTTTTACATACAGAACAGTAATTCTGCCCAGCGAAATTGTCAGACGGTCCCTAACTCGGGTAGGCAGAGTAGTTGATGCTGAATCGCCGAGCAGCAGCAGCTCGCACTCAGTCCGTCGCTGCAGTCCAACAGAGCGACCGGTTATCAACATCCTCTCCGCGGAGCTGTAACGCTATGTGGGTCTGAGCTGATGGTCAGCGGTTCAGCCACGGCACGACACCACGGTGTTTCATTTGTGGACATGAGGACACCTGCTACAGCGACTCCTTTCAAAACGTGGACCGGGAATCCCGACAGGCATCGATTTTCGACGAGCATATGAGAAAGGTGGTGATGCAGCAGAGTGGCTTCCACACAAGAGACCGCCTCTGTCAATTCGCAGCCAGCCAGCTAGCTAGTGCTAGCCTTGTAGCCAAATAGCTAGCACCTGGGCAGGCTGAGGGTTTTAAAGCTCTGTCTTTACAACCTCCGGGGTAGCTCAAATGTCAACGGACCGAAACGCGTATGTCGGGCTATTTGTATTTATTGTGTGGGTTTCCCCCTGAGCGTTGACAGGAACTTTATTTTCCTTTTTTCTTTCCATTGCTAGCCAGTATTAGCCGGGTAAGTTAGCGCATTTGGTTGTTAGCTAGCGTTTTGTAGTGGCTAATCACCTCACACAGGCTGGCACTGTCACAGAATGAACTTGGTATTCTGCGTGGAGACGCAGCTCCATACCAACATGATGGAAAAGTACAGGAAAAACAGGGCTCTGTTAACACTGTCTAGCGCCAACCCCGCAGGCTTTAGTACGAATAGCAATGTTTGTCTTTAAAGGGGTACTTGCTTCATTTCCATCCATCCTTTACATTCGCACTTGGAGCAGCTGCTGAGCCGAATGAGACATTTGCCCCACGTCTTCTTTCCACATCTGCCGGCACGAGGGAATAAAACCCTTATGTTTTCCAGTATAGCCCACGGGTGTTTAATAGGTGGGTTGATATTCAGATGTAGTACAGCACAGAAAACAGGCATGCAATGTACTTAGAAAGCGCGGCTTACTCCCTTTTTTTTGGGCTAGAGTTTGGAACACAACTGTGCATTGTGTGTTACTTTTGTGCTTTTTATCATGATACATGTGTGGTAGCAAGAAATACACCACTGCAATAAGATGAAACTGTAGAAAGAAAGCTGTGCTCACTCTGCAGTGGCACTAAAGCCAGTATGCGTAAAGGACACTTGATCGAACAGATACTGCACAAACTCTTGATACCTTAAGCCTCTTGGAAAATCTATCATTTTTCTCATGGCCAAAGGATTAAGTCTTTTGTGTGTGTTTGTGGAAAGAGAAAGAGAGCGAGAGACATCCTGAGGTATTTATTTTCCAGATGACATGTTGTTAAAATCACCATAGCAAGCCAAGAGGATTGTTTATTACTCTAATATATCAGCTCTTGCTTGATATAAGACATGCCATTTACTTGAGCTGTCACTTTGCTTTTGATTGTAATTCAGAGCTGTTTGGCTCAGTAGAAGCCTGTCAGGGAGAGTGCATGGTGAAAGGATACTAGTGGTTACAAAAGACATGCTGCCAAGGTGGAGAAATGACAACTGAAGGAAAGACTATAAAGGACATCAACTTGTCTATCCTGCCAGTGCATAGAGAGCATTGACTATCTAAAAAAATGGTAAAAAATGAAGGAAGGAAAAGGCAAGGTTTTTCTACAATGGTGTTTAGTCTGTTTAATATGCTCTCATTTGATTTGTTTTTGTCTCCTAACTGAATACCTCTGTGTACTTTTTTTCAGAACTATCATGGCCATGTTCCTGCTGACAAGTCACCCTGTTACTGAGGGATCTCTGCCTTTTTTGGTTTCTGGACCTACCAAAGCAGGGATGAGATAATAAAGTTAACCAGTCGGTGCATGCCGCTACAGCAACCCGTGGCACCTGTGAAACCCACCTTACCCCATCCCTAGTAAAGTCAATTTAAAACGGTCAAAAGATGACAACGCCGGCTCTACTACCGCTGTCGGGCCGCAGGATACCCACTCTGTCGCCGGGTGCCTCCTCCTTCCCGCACCATAGGGCCACGTTGAGGCTCTCTGAGAAGTTCATCCTCCTCCTCATCCTCAGTGCCTTCATCACCTTATGCTTTGGGGCCTTCTTTTTCCTCCCAGACAATTCCAAGCACAAGCGCTTTGACCTGGGCTTGGAGGATGTGCTTATCCCTCATATTGACACACCTAAGGAGGGCAAGCACGCCTCAGGACAGGTGATCATACATGGACAGGGAGGACACGATGAACACAGACACAGGTAAGGGCCCTCAGAAGTATTGTTGAGTGTAGAAAAGAAAGAGCTAGTGTGTCTTAATTAAAAATAAATAAATAAATAAAAAATTATATATATATATATATATATATCTCTGTGTGTGTATTTGACAGTGAATAAGGAGATCAGAAACAACTGGTTTTCTTACATATTAGTAAGTACTTAGTTTATTTTTGGTTCTTTACATAGCTTATGTCATTCAAACAGGTGGCTTGACACGTTTTTTCAAACAATCTGACGCCTCTGGATGTGTGTTACTGTTTGCCAAGTGATACACGTCAGCACAAATGCTCCTTTCATTTTGTTCCGTATTCCTTTGCACAGCTGAGTGTGCTCTGTGCTCTCTCGCCCTTTGTTTCTCCACTAGGTCTAATGGTTTTAGTTCTTTAACAGCAGGCATTTTATCACCTTGGCCTGAGTTTTGCTGTTTTGTCCCGCAGGCAGACATTGTTGAACTTGATGATCTAGAACACACAGGCTGTTTGAAAAGCCTTAGTGACTGCTTAAACAGGCTTGGAAATTAGTGTCAGCAGTGAGCTACATACTGGTCACTTTGGGCTTCAGTGTTGACATTTATCATTTGTTCTGTCCAGCTATCGTTCTGAGGCGCTTTCTCCCTCCTAAATCAGGGTCAGTGTTTGGTATCTCTAATAGTGTTGTGCCTTTTGGAATGCAGTGCTCTGCACAAGGTTCATGTGCATCTATCAAATGATATCTCAACTGACTCTGGAACACTGACAGAAACATTTACTTTTTTTTAAATCAGTATTTAAATGATAGAAAAGAAACTAAACCTTGTATTTACCTAATTTGTACTGCTGTGTTCATTTCAGAGCAGTGTGAGTGCCTCTGCTGCATTCATTTCTAGTCACGCCAGGTTCTCTCATAATTTCTCTCTGTTACCAGGCTGCAATCTGTGGGTTTCACTGTGTACGTGTACATATGAGGTGGGAAGAGTGGAGTAGAACACGTAGTGCAACACCAGAAGTGAAGATGGAGTTAGTCAGGTTAATGACAAGTGGTTTTCCAAGTGTTTCCCAACAAGTGTTCATCCAACTAAGATGGAAAAACACCATAGAACACTAAATGTATGTAGATCTCATGGCAGGCTTGATCTCATGAGAGTACTAGCATTTCTTCTGCTGAGTTCCAGCTAAATTACCCAACAAGCACAGCTGTGATCCTCCTTTACTGAATAACATGCTAAAATGGACAGAAAACACAAGCTAGTGAAAATGCACATAGATTCATTTTTAACATGCTGTTTCAAAATTACACTACACCGAACAACTGTCTAACAGTTGTAGGCAGTTTCCACTGCACATGCTGCAACGGTGCATTTTCACTGTTTCAATCAAAGTGGCTACACCGTGCGTAAGATTAGTGTGTAAGAAGTGGGAATATGCTGCGGAGATCTATTTAGCAATCACAAAATCAGACCAGTCTGAGGAATTGACACCAAAATCCAGTTAACAGCCAGTAGATAGTGACAGTTCCACAGTGCTGTGCTGTTTTCAAAAGCTAAAAACACAACAGAACCCATGAAATAAATCCTCAAGTCTTGTTTCCCTGTTAACTAACATAATCTTAAGTAGAACGTGCTCTTCAGGTGTATCTACTAACAAGCTCTGCTACACACATGTTCCACAAACATTACTGTGCTTTCAGTGTAGCCAAAGAACTAACAGTAGTTATTGTCCTTCTATTGGAGTGGTCTTTTGCTAGCATAACTCATTCACGTATGAATCATTCAAGCACATGCATATTATTTTGCAGCCACAAAATATTTATGACATGCATGAGTGCCAAAGGGCAGGTGAGAAGAACAATTTCATAGAAAAGGTCATCTGCAAGCCAGTAACGGACGTCATTAGTTTATTTGAAATCTTGGCAGGGTGTTACCAAGCAGTTTCTCCCACAGTTTCAACGTTGCATTTTGCCTCCTTATTCCCTGTGATGCCCGTTCATATTTTCATTCTGAAAGCCTTTCTTTCAATGCTGCCTGCTTGAAATAACGTAATTGCTGTTGTCCAACGACTCAGACAAACAGAACAGGCAGTGCTGGGCTCAAATGGTGCTGCGTATTATCAAGTTTTTTTTGTTTTTTTTAAATGTCGAGGTGGGAAACTTGGAGTTATTCTTGCTTCACCATAAGTGGCAGTCATGTTTTGCTTCAAATACTTCTACTTAGAGCTGGGCGATAGAACGATAACGATATGTATCGCGATATAACTTTTACTCGATAGAGAAATTAAGCTATCGCGATAGACCTCGCCGCTCTTGTCCTCAAAAAAAAAAAAAAAAAAAAAAAAAGGTCAGCCAATCCAAATTAAGTAGCGCAGAGCCGAACCAATCACAGCCGCAGCGTCACGTCGCGTGACTTGTTACGTACAGCACAAGTGCCAAGCCGCACGTGTGTTTGTTTGGGAAGCAGCCAGCGGGTAATGGAGCGGAATGGAGGAATGAGTGTGCCGACTAGAAAAATCAACCGAGCGTGACCGAAGAGAAAACAGATGATGGTTCCAACGCCGGAGAGATTGTCGAACGGAAGAGCCATAGAAGTTCCGTAGTGTGAAGGTATTTCGGCTATTTCAAGTCTGACAAAAAACAGAGTAGCGTGCACTGTAAATTGTGCCGAAAGCAAGTCTGGAAATACAATAAACTGGTGCATGCGTCACACTGTGCGCCACGTTATTGTTTCGGTGAAATGAATTTCTACAATACTGTTACTGTTAATTCTACTCTCTGCAGTGTTTAAATGCTTACATATACACACAGTTACTGTCCCTCCACACATACGCTCGGTTCTGCTTCTATGCCCCAGCTTTGTTTACTTTTTCCCACCGAGGCTTCTAGACTTCTGATTGGCCAACATTTCTGCACGGTTAGGAATCTAGCGCCACCTGCTGCTTTGGCATGTTCATAGCAGCGTTTTCCTTCATTTCTGCCTTTATGTGTGGACGGGATTATTTTTTAAAACGAAAACGGAAAATCTCCGTTTTCAAAAATACCCGTGTACGTGTGGACGTAGCCTCAGTCTCTGACTGGAAGCGCTAATTCGTCATTCGGCTTTTGTCAGACTAAAGTAACTGTTAAAACTGTTTGAAAAGCTCAGCTATACAACAAGGAGAGATTGAGAATTTCCTTTTAGTTCTCAGTTTATTTGATATTGACAAAAGTTAGTCAGTTTTGTCTGTTCTTCTGTAAAACAAACTAAGATTTATTTTTAGAATTAATATTTTGTTTCTAAGTGGAATTGACAATTTAGTCTGTTTTGTTTGTTCTATTTTGAAACTTAAACGCTTTAGCGGCTGCCTTTTGTGTAGTTTGCAATATTTGCCTTTATTTATCTGAAAAAGTCTCATGTTCCTTAAGTACATCTACCCTGTTGAACTTATTATGGGAAATAAATATTTAAATAAAAACAAGCTGCTGATTATTTCACATTTTACTTGTGAGCAACGGCACATTTAAATCTTACAAATATAGTTATTTGGCTTATATCGTGATAGATATCGTTATCGCCTGAAATGAAAAAAACATATCGTGATATGAAAAAATCTTATATCGCCCAGCTCTACTTCTACTCTACTCATCACTGAGGTCTTCTCGACTCTACTTCTATATTTCATTTCTGGGCACGTCCAAAACAAAATGGTCCCCAGGATGTTCCTGGGGACTAATTTACAAGTCATTTGAACGAGACAGGAAAGAAATCAGACTAGTTAACTAGTGTAAAAGGCAGAAGACGCTGGGCGCAATCTAACAGACAAGGATAAACACTGACCTTAGAATAGCTGTGTATGAATTTAGGAGTCATTTGAGACCATTAACGGATTCCGCAACATTCAAATCTTGTTATGAATGTTGGTGAAATGTGCAGCACTTTGTGCCGTGTATACCGCTGGGGCCACACAGTGTCAGATTAGTTTGATAAATGTTTGCTAGCAGCAGTAGCCCCTTTCATGGCAGGCTAGCATCCACGTCTGTGCATAATGTGGTTACAAATTACTTGGACCACTTCAGTGTGGTTATATGCCAGTTTTCTCTCACACAGCCAACATACAAAAGTTCATTTTCTTCATCAATGTACTGCAGAGCTGTGGTGTTTCACGCAGGTGTCATCTTCTTACTTTCAATCTGTTTCATTTCAAGTTCCCTCACAGAGAGCGAGGGGGTCTCAGGCATTTGTCAGGGCTGCAGCACTAGTTGGTCTCAGGTGGCGTTGTAACATCTTTGAACCAACAGGTAACTTAGTAAAACAACAATAATAGATTTAACCGACTAGTATTTCTGGTGCCTACTAGCAAGAGTAGCAGTGTATAAATGTCTTGTTGACCATGCACATGCCTAGTGTGAACGCAGTTAGTCTTGTGAACTGTGTCACTGTAAAGCTGGAACATGGGAGTTTTACATATAATTAAACGTGCGTTACATTTAGGCCTTTCCTAATTTGAACTAGTAGATGGATAGTTCAAATTTCATCACCTTGGAGTATGTTATACATATCAGTATGTTTTAGTAAATCAGAATTTGAAATCTGATGTCTGCTTAAACACTTCCTCACTGGTGTGTCGAACTGGATGAATTTTAAATCAGCTGCGAGCGATTGGTTTTCCAGAGCTACAGAGGAACGTGACGTAGCATCAGACACACACAGCAGTATACTAACTGAGGTTATCGTCATGGGGGATAAACTTAGCTTCTGAGAAAGTCAGATAGAAAAAGAAACTTGACATTCGCAGGAAGAATTATAGCCTTCAAAAAATGGATTGATATGCATTACAAGGGCTCAGCAACATTGCTTTAAACTTCCATGCTGCAGGCTTGAAATAAATCCCATTCAACGTACTCTTCATGTTTTGGGTAAGCTGTTTAAATGAGATTCCAGTAGGTTCAGTGTGCAGTCACAGATGGCAGAAGGCACTTCTTCTTCTTCTTAATGAACTGAATACTTTTTTTTTTATATTTCTTTATTTTTTTAT